AGAAAGGACTTGTGTCGCTAAAGTTTCGTCGGAACGAAGTTACGGAAAAAATCAATTAACAAACGGAGACGTAACAATATTCTGTCCGCATACATTCAATTACTCATTGTTCCGTCACATTGTGACCGTCTTATATATATATATACCAGACTATCCCCAATCTAGTAGTCTCCCGAACATTCACGAAGGAACAGGATATTTCTAGAAGGAGGTGGCGTGATACTAGTCACGTGACCTCGCTGATGCAACAATATATTATGTATATACTAGCTAGAGTACCCGTTTCGATCAGTGGTGCGATCATTCCCAAGTACACAAATCTTACTATTGTTACGTCTCCGTTCGTTAGTTAATTTTCCCGTAAATTCTTTCCGACTAAACTTTAGTGACACAAATCCTTTCTTAAATAAAACTGGTTTATTCTTTCCGAATACAACTTTATGATACACTTAATTTCAACAGTCGCTCTATAACAAACGCAATAACTCACGACTCACGAGGCTAACAATATTCTGTCCGCATACATTCAATTACTCATTACACTGTTGTTCCGTCACGTTGTGACTGTCTTATATATATACCAGACTACCCCCAATCTAGTAGTCTCCCGATAATTCATAAAGGTTCGGGAAGGACGTGACGTGATACTAGTCACGTGACCTTGCTGACGCAACACTATAAAAGCTGTAAATTGTAATAACATTTTTATAAATTATTGAATAAATACACACTGTCATGGCAGCAGCACGTGATCTAAGGTGCCTAACATTATATTATTCCAGTTATCTTAACCTTTTGTTCTAGTTTTTGCTAGATGATGTCTTCTGCCCGCTGAGATATTTCAGTCTATATTTGGAAACTGGTTTAAACTAGTTAGAACTGGAATATCCTTTGCTGACCGAACTTTGACGTAAGTTAATAATGGCTGGAGACGGCTTGAATGGGTGATGAAGAAAAACTTATTGCTCTCAACCTCTACATTAATGATCCCAACAAGTTAATGCACATCCCCAGCACACTTTTTGCTTCTCTCTTAGAATTTACGA